TATTATTCTTATGATATATATTGCTTTTGAAGAGGAAGTATAAGGGAAAGTTAAATACCTTCTCTTATACGCGTGTGTTTGATTTTTTTTCTTTCTATTTTAGCCCTGAACAATATTTCCTTCAAAAATTGTAAAAAATAGTTGTCGTTCAAACTCTAAAAAAAAAATATATGATATAATTCTACGTATGTAAACGTTATTATATTTATTCCTTCAAGGGGAATGAGTTGATATCAGTATGCCCAACAAAGATTCATTTGTTTTGTCTGTGTTCTGTTTTGTAGAAAATCTATCTCCGTTCACTGACACCCAAGCCAACATGTTTTATTTATTTCGCTCTTAATTCATTTTGTGTTGCGTTATAATTGGTTGGTTTCAAATAGTTTTTAGTGCCATTTGTTGCTGTTCCTGATTGTTGAATTTAATAACATGTAGACTTTCTGAAGTAAGCAATGTGCATAATCAGTTGAGCTGCAACAGACAACCGCTCCACATAATCATATATATACATATATTTTTCTTATGATACATAGTGCTTTTGAAGTTGAATTATAAGACAAAAAAAATGTTGTGTCAATTAACTTCTATCACACACGTGTCTTTGACCTTTTTTCTTTTTCATTCTTACCAAATATTGCTTCATAAATTGTATAAAAGTAGTTGTATTTTAAACCATAAAAAATATGATATCATATAACTTTCAACAATCTTAAACTTCGACGGTTGATAAAACAAAAATCAACAATGTCTGATTCTTTTTTCTTCGTTATTTTTGCGCTGTAAATATTATGTAGACAATTTTGTTGCGTTTTCTCCATCTCCTGTTCAGAGGTAAGTTGTATTTTTCATTGTTTTCATTTAAATGGAATGTATTCATCATTATTATAACTGTTTTTTTTACTGACATGTGCCATCCTATTTAAAAAAAAATCAGTGCTTGTCAAAACAGAAAACATGATCCTTTAAGAGTTCCTTCATCGAATGTTGATGATTGTCTTATTACTCATCCCACTCAAGGTAAGATATTAGCTAAAAAAAATGCCATGTGCTTCACATTATCGATTGTTTCTAAAGTCATTTCATTTACAAATTTGGCTCCTCTTTTTTTTTCTAGATACTAAAAATGCTAGAATAAGGCGAAAAAGCATACTGGCTCAAAAAACGAATTCTAAGCGGTTTATTAATATAGATGATATAACGAGAATGGAAGACTTAACAGGTAATTTATCTTGAAAAAGTTTAATTTGTGAACCATCTATTACAGCAAGAAAAAATATTAAAAATGTTCGTAATAAAATGAGGTCTGATATCTTCATTTTATGTTACAGGTACTGATATGAATAATTCCATTGTGCCTAACATTACTTCTAACAGTGAAGGTATTTGCATGAATTTAAATTTTCTTCATTTTCTGTATCGAATAAAAATTGTGCATCTTTCTTGATTTCTTCGTATTTTGTATTTATTAAGATTATTGGGATGCAGGAGATCCTACTTTTGTTTGCGAGAAATGTGGAGCACATTTGTGGTATGAGGAGAGAAATAAAAAAGATCGTAAACCCATCACACTAGAGTTTAGTTTGTGCTGCGTCAATGGAAAAGTAAAACTTCTTGTTAAAACTCCCTTCTGATGCGTTGCTTAAATTTCATGATAATTCAAATATCAAGAGCCGCCACTATTTACGGAATATTCGAGCATACAATATGATATTTTCCTTCACCTCCTTTGGAGAAAAAGTGGACGGATCAGTGAATCAAGGTTCTGGCCCTTATTGTTTTAGAGTTGGGGGACGAGTGCATCATTTAATAGGCAGCCTTATTCCAGCTGACAGTCTTACTCCAAAATTTGCTCAGCTATATATATATGATACTGACAATGAAGTTGACAACAGATTGGGTTGTTTAAGGCATGTTATTTTCTAATCTATTGTCATCTATCAATTACGGTGTATGTTTTGTTATTTATTTTTTACTTATTTTTATGACATTATTCTTGCAGTTCCATAAACAGTGAAGATATGATTGATCCTGATATTGTCCTATCATTGAAGGAAATGTTAGATAAACACAACAATATTGCTCAATCTTTTAGGTACGCTAGAGATCGATATAGGGAAGATGACTTCAGTGGAGTGAAGTTGAGGATGATTCGAAAGCGTGGCAGTTATGGCAAAGTTTATAATCTTCCCTCTGCATCAGAAGTTGCTGCTCTGATTGTCGGGGATATAGACACCGCATTGGGTGATAGGGATATTGTTGTTAAGACACAAGATAGAGTTTTGCAGCGTATAAATGTCAAGCATCCGTTGTATCTTGGTTTGCAGTATCCTTTGTTATTTCCTTATGGTGAAGATGGTTATCGTGATGATGTCGAGCGATCTTATATACCCCAAGGTAAGACGAATCCAGGATCCAATGTTAGCATGCGGGAATTCTTTTCGTTCAGGATTCAAATGAGGTCAGGAGAGTCCCAAGTTCTCCTGAACTCAAGGAAGCTTTTTCAACAATTTTTGGTTGATGCTTACACTATGGTTGAGTCTGATCGGCTGAATTTTATTCGATATAACCAGAGTCATCTCAGGGCAGAGTTATACAAAAATATAAAACATGCATTTGACAGGGGTGAAGATGAAGCTATAAACACTGGAAAGCGTATCATTATTCCTTCTTCGTTCACAGGTGGAACTAGGTATATGGCTAAGAATTGTAAAGATGCCTTTGCAATTTGTCGTTGGGCTGGATATCCTCATCTGTTTATAACGATCACCTGCAATCCTAAGTGGCCAGAGATTACCAGATTTCTTAAGGCAAGAAACCTTAATGCTGAAGATCGTCCTGATATTCTTTGCAGAGTATTCAAGTTCAAATTGGACCAATTGCTATATGATTTAAAAAATGGTCGTTTTCTTGGCACATTTAATGCACGCAAGTGTATCCTACCAAATTTTTTTTATGTATCCTACCAAAAAAATTCTAAATAAAAATCGACTATGACCAATTTGTTGATTTTAACTATCTCTGTTTGTTTGTTTCAATGTAACAGGTGTTTGTACAGTTGAATTTCAGAAACGTGGACTGTCTCATGCTTATATTATACTTTTGTTGCATCCCTCCGCAAAGCCTAATACTGAACTTGACATTGATAATTTGATTTCAGTTGAGATTCCTAACAAAGATTTCAATCCTTCACTTTTTGCAGCTGTCACGAGTTACATGATGCATGGACCCTGTGGTCCTGACAATTACAAGTCTCCTTGCATGAAGAACAGACATTGTTCAAAGAAATTTCCCAAGAAGTTCTGCTCTCGTACTTTTATTGATGATGATGGATTCCCTCATTATAAAAAAACAAATGATGGGAGTGTTGTCAAAAAGAACGGCGTTGAACTTGATAACCGTTATGTTGTGCCGTATAATGTACAACTTCTTCTAAAATATCAAGCGCATATCAATGTTGAATATACCTGTCAGAGTAGTGCCATTAAATATCTTTTTAAATACATTCATAAAGGGCAAGACAGGGTGACAGCTGCTATAAATCATTCAGATGATGAAATCAAAATGTTTTATGATTGCAGGTTATTGAATTCATATCGGTTATGTTTTCATTTCGTCGCCTGCTTCAACGTTTTTCTAACTTATTTTGTATTTATTGCTTACATAAAATAGGTATGTGTCTGCATGTGAAGCTGCTTGGAGAATATTCGGATTTGAAATTCATTATAGATTCCCCCATGTTCAGCGATTGCCATTTCACCTACCCAATGAAAAGAGCGTTGTTTTTAGTGATCATGCTTCAATAACTGATGTCAAGACTAGGGCAGAATCTAGACAATCAATTTTTGAGTCTTGGATGGATGCAAATAAAAAATATCCAGAAGGTAGGCATCTTACTTATGCAGAGTATCCAACTCAATTTGTTTATAAAGAAAACACGCATGAATGGCATCCCAGAAAACAAGGATTTTCAATTGGAAGAATAAATCATTTTTCTGCCAATAATGGAGAAGATTCCTATCTCCGAACTTTACTTAATTTTCAAAAGTGTTGTACAAGTTACAAAGATTTGAGAACTGTCAATGTGGTGATTTTTCCTACATTTAAGGTTGCCTGCTATTCTCTGGGACTTTTGGATGATGACAATGAGTACATTGATACAATTAAAGAGGCAAGTTCTTGGGGGTCAGCAACTTATCTGAGAAATCTGTTTGCTTTATTGTTATTTGGTAACTCAATGAACAAGCCTGAAAATGTTTTCCAAAAATGCTGGGAATTACTATCTGACGATGTTCTTTATCGGCATAGGCAAAGAATTGGACGTGAAGGTAATTGTCCTGAACAAATTTTGTGCATTCATTTATGTGTTTTCTGCATTATAATTAAATTTTTTCCAATCTGTATCGTGCATTCATTTATGCAAACAGTTTGCCTATGTTTAATTCTTTTGACCTTGGAAAAAATATGAGCTTTTTTTGTTCCTTCGTAACAAAAATTACATCTATATATCATACATGTTCCTATTCTTAATATTTGGTTAAATTTTTTTGTTAAGTTCCACACACTCTGCTTTGTTCATAATTTCGCTTTATTTTTCTCTCCTCACCAACTTTGTCTTTGTTAATCCTTTTTTTTTTGTATTTTTCAATTTTTTCAGATGCATTTCTTACGGAGGATTCTATAAAAAACATAACCCTTGCAGAAATTGATAAGGTGTTACAAAGCAATGGTAAATGCCTCTCTGATTACCCATCCATGCCGAGTATCATCGGTGAATCTTTATTGAATATTCGGAATAGACTGGTGATGGATGAATTGTTGTATGACAGTTTCTCTTTGAAAGAAGAGCATGACAGACTACTGAATTCACTCACTGATGAGCAGATGTTTGTTTATAACAAAATAATTTCAGCTGTTTCAGCAGGTAAAGGAGGGTTTTTCTTCCTGTACGGCTTTGGTGGTACTGGAAAAACATTTATTTGGAACTCCCTGTCAGCATTTCTTCGATCAAGAGCTGGAATAGTGCTTAATGTTGCTTCTAGCGGAATTGCTTCACTTCTACTTTCGGGAGGACGTACAAAACATTATAGATTTCGTATTCCTATTCAGATCATCGAAGATTCAACGTGCAATATAAAACAAAAGTCTACTTTGGCAATTGTTGTCTAAAACAAAGTTAATCATTTGGGATGAAACCCCAATGGTACACAGATCTTGCTTTGAGGCCCTTGATAGAACACTTAAAGATGTTCTTAGATTTTATGATACCAGCTGTGTTGATATGCCCTTTGGTGGAAAAGTGGTCGTTCTAGGAGGTGACTTTCGGAAAATATTACCTGTCATTCCACATGGCAGTAGACAAGAGATCGTTCATGCAACAATCAATTCTTCGTATCTATGGTCCCATTGTCATTTGTTGTCTTTGACCAAGAATATGCATCTCAGTTCTGGAAGTGGCACTAATAATTTGTTGGAAATAAAAGAATTTTCTGAGTGACTGCTTAAAATAGGAGATGGTGATCTTGGAGATGATGTTGATGGATAATCTGTTATAACAATTCCAGATGAATTCTTGATCAAAGGTTCAGAAGACCCACTTTCAGATATTATTGATTTTGTCTACCCGAATCCGATGGATAATATATTAGATCCGACTTTCTTTAAACAACGTGCTCTTCTAACTCCTAAATTGTCCGATGTTGCCATGTTAAACGAGCACCTAATGGCTGTGATTCCGGGTGAAGAAAGGACATTTTTAAGTTCAGATAAGGTTTTGAAACAAGACGGTAATTCATCTCTTGAGGATGATGAAATCTCCCTTGAGATCTTAAATACATTCTCATGTTCGGGGATTCCTGATCATAAATTAACTTTGAAGGTAAAAGTACCGGTTATGCTATTGAGAAATATTGATCAATCAAGAGGTTTGTGCAACGGTACGAGATCACTTATTACAAAGTTGGGGAATCATGTTGTTGAGGCAATCGTTCTTACAAGAAACAATATAGGAGATACTGTGTTAATCCCTAGAATGACGATGAGCCCATCGGGTCATACATTTCCAGTAAACTTCCAAAGAAGACAATTCCCCTTGGTAGTTTCGTTTGCGATGACTATAAACAAAAGTCAAGGACAGTCGCTGTCTCATGTTAGCATTTATCTTCCTAGGCCTGTCTTCACTCATGGGCAATTATATGTGGCACTATCTAGAGTAAAGAGCAGGCATGGATTGAAGATGCTGATACTTGATGAAAATGGATGTGTTACAAATACTACTTTTAACGTCGTCTATAAGGAAGTGTTTCAAAGATTAGTGTAGTATACTTGGTTATTTCTACAGAGAGATAACATTGTTGTTTGTTATCAGGTAAGAACTCAATTTCTTATAAGAAAATATTTTTTTAATCTTCTTTGTTGCATGGCTTTAGTTGTTATGCGTATTTTTCTGCTAATTTTTTTATTGTTATGCATTGTAATTCTGAATTATTCATCTGCCATGAACTATGTAATTACCTTCAATAATTTTTTCTTTTCCAATTATTGTTTATGAATCATTTCTAACAGGAGCAAATACAAATAGTGCATGGCGGAAGAGATCTTACAACTGTTGCTTATCGCTTTGCGATATTTCTTATTTCTTATTATATTGCTGTCAATAGGACATTTACATTTTTTTCATGGAGATATTGCTGTCAACCCTGGAATTTACTGTATTTAAATTATTATATTCCTTTTTTGTTATTACCTTACAAGTTACACGTTTATGTCATACGAACAAACCAATTTTTTTATCAATTCGTTTACGGGACAAACAAATCGATTTTTTTTTTCTCCGTGCATCGCACGGGTAATCAACTAGTATAGAATAAAAATAAACGTTTTAAGATTTTGGTTGAGAAATGATCTCAAGTTAATGATATAACGTTCTTAGTTGATGAATGGTGGTACTAGCATGTTACCAAGAGGGGAGGACTCACAACATACAAAAAAAATTAAATCTTATTAAGTAGCTTCAGTTACATATATGGATTCTAGTATGTTATCGTGTGCGATTCTGTATTATAAATTTATTAAAAAAATTTCCCCGTTTCCATCTTTCTCTTTAAAAATATGTATTTAGTAGGTTTTTGTAAGTAGTTTTCGAATATGTTTAACTCATCCTAATCAAACCTTTTCTTCACAAGAGCCACGCTACCATTATTTCTGATTTTATCCATATGCACATGCACACACTACAAAAAACACGTTGTTTTGCCACGTTAAGAAACGTGGCTAAATTTATTTAAAAACGTGGCTAAATCGAACTACCACACTTTTGTCAAATGTGGCTAATTCTGGCGTGGCATTTATTTGGCCACATTTTTTTTCTCACTTTGCTACTGCTGTCATGACTCATGAGTGTGGTAGCATTTTTTTGGTCACGATGATTTTGACATTAGCCACATTATAAACGTGGCTAAATTGTAGTCAGAGAATAAAAAAAATAATACATTTTTATTTATTTTAATATTTAAAAAATATTATAAAAGAAATAGAAATGTATTTAATAATAATAATAAAATATGATATCATTTAAGAAATTATAAAAACAATAATTTACTTGAGATAAGTAAAGTTTGCCTGAGAACTAGGTAGAAATAATCAAATTAATGAAAAGACACACCCACTTGCATCAATAAAACTCTGTTTCCAATAATAGCAGTTTCACCAATAATCATGCCTATCCCATGATTTAATAAAATCACCTCCACAATTTTCACAGCTATATAAAAAACAATAAAGATAATGTGTATCATTCTGCATGCATAACCCAAAAAAACAATGTGTCACGTTCCTGAATGGCCCTATACATTTCTTGATGCTGATTCAAATGGCCTTTCTTCGTAGTACTTGATAACAGATCTTCACGTTCCTGGATACTTGAAAACCCTGAATATCTTCATTTCTGATGCTTTCTTCCCGCTGCAAAGTAAAGTATTCTATCAATACCACTTGATATTTTCAAGTCAGACCATTAAGCTCTAGGAAAATTTTAGCTTATTTCTGTCGAGGTTCAAATATAGCAAACACAAAAACTTGTAAAGGGGCATAGCATGGGAAATCTAACTCTAAAAACAATGTGATAAGCTTGAACCTGAACGTGAACGATGCAGAACAGAATGCTAGCAATAGTGAATGTGTCTTCATTATCACCTAACTGAATGTGATAACTCTAAAAACTGAATGTGATAAACTTGTAAAGGTTCAAATACATGCTTTTTCTTTCTTCCATGGCATTTTTTTTCAATTATCACCTTTTGCAACTTTTGTTGTGGATAAACAGAAATTACCCAACAACATATCCTGAAATACTAAACGCAAAGTCTTTAATAATTTAATTTCTGATGCGCCCCAAACTTTGTTCCATGTTACCTAGGTAGGTGGCTTTTGCAAATTTCTCTCACGCCCCCCTTTTCACAAATTCATTGTTATGCAACTATGCAAGCTATTTCAAAATAGAATGAACAGCTTATACCAAAAAATTAATTAACCACCCTTCTCCATATATGCCTATAGTCCCCTGAAATTAATGCGTGTCCACGATCATCCATGTCAAAGAAATCTCCACATAATAAAATGCATCAAGAAAACAACAAACTAGTCGTATTTATTTAATGTAATTTCTATGAACACACGCTAACCCCATTCTCAACCTAACCACTCAACTCAATGCATTTTCTTTTCATCAGTTTCAAATGCCAACCAGATAAGATAAACAGTTTTAGAATCCACCCCATTTTTCTATCTAGAACAAACACTGTTTTAGAGACTATTTTTTAGTTTTCTTTGTTTAGTGGTCTAATAAAATAAATAGTAGCTAAATGGTAAGAGACCCACTTCAACCACGCGGCATATGCAAGAGCTGTACTATTTCTATTTATGTATTGTGAGCTCTATGCGGGGATTTGGTTGTGGGTCTCCAAGGTAGTATGAATTTTATATTACTTTTAATATTTTATATAATTGGTTACTTTTACATATTTTAGTTTTAGCCTAGTCCCAATCATTACAAAATTACATATTAGAACATGATAAAAAATATATTAATCTAATGATTTGATTACTTTATCATTTACATTTTTATATTTTTATATAATATATCCTACTGTACCCGTTACCTATACCAATACTAACTAGCTAGTGCATGGCATTGATAGAAAAAATAAAGTGGCATAAATATGTTAATGAGAATTAAATTAATAAAATTAAAAAGCAGTTATTCTATTTCAAAATGAATATACCAGTTTAAACCGATTGACCCAAACATAGTATTTTAAAAACTTCAAAACTGGAAAATACAGAACCACCAAGTTTTGTTGTCTTCATGAAGCAATTGAGTTGATGACAGGAATAAGAGAATAAGTTAAACTTACCAGAAAAGCAAAAATTACGGAGGTAGTTAGAAGTAATTGATAAGATGAATTAGATGACTATGGAGCTTTCAAGTTTTGTACTTGACGATCCATAAGCAAGTCCATTAGCCGAGTTATACCACGAAGGATTGCCAATATAGCTTCCTGTAACCTGAAGAGGAAGTCAACAAGGGTGCTTTCCAAGCTAGATGATTTAACAAATTCAGGAATTAAACCAAAATCGAAGCTAAAAAACTAATACCTCTGGAGAATGGGTGACAAGGGCAGTCAATATTTGAAGAGTATAATATCGTGCATAGAAATCATCCTCTTCCTGTCAAAGTACCACAAAGGAAAAATGACTAAGAAAATATTATGATTTATATGCATAAGCCTAGAAGTCAAGGAAACTTCCATTGATTTAATTGAGAATACATCCCATGATTTTAGTAAAGAAATTCTTACCAACAAAATTAGAAGAAGAGAGACACTTTCTGCTTTTCTAGAAAGTAAATCAGTGTTGATCAAAGCTGGCTGAACTTCATTACTTGATCCTGTTCCATGATAAATAGGAGTCAGTGCACGTACCATAGTTTTAAGGGCACCACGAACCTGTATGGATATAATTTTCATTTAACACACTATTGGGACCGGATAGATTAAAGCAAACTTTACAAATTTAGGGAAAGAAATTTTGATTACTTTTCAATTATTAATAAATCATAAACTTAAACCAATTGGATAAACCACTGGAAATTAGGGAAACAAAGCTAATACTTTCTGTGATTTTATGATTTTTTGTGATTCTAATACCAACTGGAGATTAAAAAGAATGGATAAGTGTTAAGTGTTTATCATCAGTGAACACTGAACAAGTTATATGCTACTGCTATAATATTATGAAATAGATGATCTATCTATCATCACTGAACAGGTTAAGTGTTTATTATGAAATAGATAAACATATATGCTACTGCTATAATATTATTGCTACTCATAGACAGCTAAACTCAATGCATCCCATTTACAAGCTGCTACATCCTCATATGCGCTATACATTAGAAATATACTGAATTATAATATACGGATGTAATAATGTTTATTAAGAAAAAATCTAATATGCTTCTTATCAATAATTTTTTCACCTGAAATAGTCTTGGATAAGGTACATAACTTAGCAAGCTGTCACTTATCTAAGGCTAAAACAGTCCGAGGCATGTTAAAATAGATAGACACCTGTACATAAGTCTCTCAATGAAATTTTCTTCTTTCATCCTTAGAAGAGACTGCCTTGATTCTTCTCTCAGTGCTGACTAAAAATCCATCAGTGTATCGCATGAAAGTCTGCACAGAACGAGTATTTAACACAAACAAGTAGAGCAACGATTACACATACTCATTGTCAATTCAATATTTCTTCATTCCACTCCACACCACACCGCAGGATGTGGAAAAATGTCATTAAGGACAATGGTCGAACACCTTCAATACATCCAAAGTGTGCAGAAAACATTCATATATTGCATATATTGAATTGGTCTAATTTTTCCCCAAAATTACTCAAGTGCTGAGGAATGAAATTTTGAGGCTGTAATTGCATCCAGGATAGAGCTGATTATGATGATTCCTTTTCAATACGATTTTATAAAGTAATTTGGTTAAGAAAAGATCATTACGATGCATGCTTTGAAACCGTTGAAAGCTGGAAGACTTGTCTTTTGTAGGACCTTGCAAGATTTGAAGATGATCCCAATAATGCTCCTAATTTAGTCGACGATGTATTTTGTCCACATGCAAAAGAAAGAGCATTTGCTGTCTCTCTTGAGTTTCACTAGAAGGACATGTGCTGCAAACTCCTAAAATATAAGGATTTAATTGAAAATCTTTAGATAATATAGGGCCAACAAATTTATTTAATTAAATTGATTTGAGAAAATTTATATATAAAACTATTTTAAATCAAAAGCTTATTTCTAGAATAGATTATAATGAATGTTTTAAATAGTTTATAAGATAAATCAATTTAGCAAAAAGAAAAAAATAACCTCTAATAAAAACATAATCATTTTTTTGTTAAAATAAATTATTAGCCGCGTAGTTTCATTTTAATTTAGATTGTGGTCCTCATAATATTTTTTAGATATTAGAACTTATTATTTCACCTATTTAAATTTTGACCTCTAAATGATTTATGCCTCAATAATTTAAAAATACAAAAAAAACTATTCACTAAAACAAACAAAATAAAAAAAATATAAATAAATAATACAATAATCGTAGGGACTAAAATTTAAATGATTATAAATATACATGTTGATATAAAAAATATAAGAATTGAAATCTATATTTTATGAAACAATAAAGATTTATTGTTTATTTCAACTATTTTAATTTTCCCCCCAAAATAATCAATATTATCATGCAAACATGCCAGCTAGTATGTATGTGTTGGCCGTAATGGCATATACATAATAAGAAGCTTCTTATTATGGCAAGTTTAACAAAATATAGATGAATTACTATATTTGTTTTCTATCTTGAAATCATATATATGTATTTATGAATTAACTTGAAACATGTGAGATGTCTTCCACTTTATGTTTCCTACTTGAAGGATTTCTTTTACTTATTTATTTTCGTCGTCATCGATTTTTGCATTCATAAACGAAGATTTTCAAGCATGCAATGCAACGCAGCCAAAAACCGCAATTATTTTCCATACTTCTATGGCATGAAATACTAGACAAGTAGGATCTAAGATAACGATTACCGAAAATTAGCAAGAAAGAAGACATAAAATTTAGTTATTCATTCAAAGCAAAACAACACAAACATTAGCTAGCAACCATACTTTTTTTTCATGTACAAAAGTGACTATTGTGTTGTTCTAAACGATACTGCAAACCACATATCTAATTCACCCATAATTCCTTTAAGACCTAAAATATAAATAAAAATTGTGTATACCATCACATCACATGCATGGTGGTGATTCATTATGCCATGAAAGAACAACATCTTGAAGACCAATTTTCCAGTCACCCCAGTGAAGCTCCTCAAACTCTAAACCACCATCCACCACTTTAACAGCGACCAACAACAACTCAGGCACAATCTCAAACACTTCAACAACAATAGCCACCTTTCCCTTACCCAAACCAATTGCCCCATTCTTCCCAATTTCAACCCTAAACCCCAAAATTCCACCAACCTCCTTCACCTTTTCCTCCACAACCTCCACCTTCTGATTCGAAGTGAACCTCTTCTCTCTCTTCCTCCTCTCATCCAACGACATCGTTTCGAACAACCCCCTCAAATCCAACCCCGAAGACATTGATATTATATCAAACGCGTTCATTCCCAATTTGTAACCGTCGCAACATTTGTTATACAAATCAGATTCGAACACGCTTTCTCTCTCTTGTGGTTTCCCTCTCAGCGATTTCTTAAACCACGAGTTCTCAAATACAGACTCCAACCTCATTCGGGTCTTCGGGTTCGGGTCGAGAAGCTGGTAGATGAGGTGCCGCGCAGCCTTCGAAACCGACGCCGGAAACTCGTAATCGCGCCGGCTGATCCTCTTGCACATCGCCGGAATGTTCATGTCATCGAACGGAAGGTGACCGGCGAGGAAAACGTAAAGGATCACACCGCACGACCACGCGTCCGCCTTCGAACCGTCGTAGCTCAGCCGGCAGAGGATCTCCGGCGCCGTGTACGCCGGCGTGCCGCAAGCCGTGTGAAGCAAGCCGTTCTTCAACTGCTCTGGCAACGCTGAGAGACCGAAATCGGAGACCTTGAGGTTGCCGTCGTCGTCGAGGAGGAGGTTCTGCGGCTTGAGATCGCGGTGTGCGACGCCGTTTTTGTGACAGAAGCAGAGGGCGGAGACAAGCTGCTGGAAGTAGCGGCGTGCGACGGACTCCGGCAATTTTCCACGGCGGGAGATCTTGGCGAAGAGCTCGCCGCCGCCTGCGTAGTCGACGATGAGGTAGATCTTTGTCTTTGTGGCCATGACCTCGTGGATTTTGAGGATGTTAGGGTGGTGGTGGAGGCGGCGCATGGCGTCGATTTCTCTCACGATTCTCGGTTCCATGGCGGCGTCCACCGTTTTGGATTTGTCGATGATCTTCACGGCAACCGTAGAGCCGTCGATCAGTGAGCGCGCTTGGTACACCTTTGCGAAATTTCCGCGGCCGAGGAACCGCGTCAGTTGGTACTTTCCGAGGATGGTACGAGACGGCTGCGATGGTGGCGGTGCTGGCGGCTGCCGTGGTTCCATTTCTTAACGCTTACTGGAACGGCAACCAACGGAGTTTAAGAATGTGCTGAATGTGGTTTATATAGAATTTCAAAATATTTGAGTTTCCTACTTTACCCCTCTTGTTTTGGGTTTATTCCTTTTCAGTGTGTCCCAGCTAGCAAGTCGGCTAGTAGCGCGTCATGAACATGATTGTTATTTTCTTAATATTTTAAGTCGGTGAGTGGAGGTATGCATGTTTTCTAAATCATAAATATTCAATTTTATGATTTTTGTTATTAAGCAGATCTTATTTATTGCAATTGCAATTTTTTTTTTATCTATCATTAATTTAAATTTAAATTAAATTGTGATTTACTAAATTTTATTCACTTTAAAAAGAATTTTTTTATACTCTTTGTTAATTTGTATAAGGTAATTAAACGTAATGAATTAACTGAGGCTTTAGTTGAAAAAAAAGATCATTGGAAAGGAATATTCAGAAAAATATGTCATTTGTTAAGGAGAGAAACATAAATGAGGAGTGCAAGTGTCAATATTTTTTTTTTATATATATAATGGTAAAAATTGAATACACAACTTAGATACAAATTACTCAAATCTTTCACATTAATGTTAGTGGCTTAGTGTCAATCATTTATACTAGCATAATTTGTAATTAGGTAGATTCTTTGACGAACAAAAAAAGAAAAAAGAAACAAGAGAATTAAATAGCATTAAATACAAATGGTTTTCTCGAAATGCACATTTAACCTTTTCCGTTTTAATTACATTTGATTAAATACGTTTATTATGCACATGAACTGTTTTATTTAAAAAAAAAAATATAATTAAAATGCAACGTTTATTTAACGAACAAAAGGAAGTAAAGTAATTAATCATACTAATTACGCATAAAGAGGATCTTGAGCATCTATTGTTTTATAGTAAAAGTATAATTTGTAATTAGCTGGATTCTTTAACGAACAAAAAAAGAGTAAATAATCATAATAAATACGGAAAAATATGTTAAGTCATCAAAGTTAAAAGCAGAGAAGTGTATACTTATAAGTTTAGAGAAAAAAAGAAATTTACTACAGGGAGTTGTTTAGGTTAAAGTTATAATTTAAGTTATTTTCACTTAAATCTACAAAACAATGGAGCTTCCTACCCTGCAATAGTAAATATATATCTACCAAATCATTTAGGGAACAATGCGTACGTTAAATATTTATATTTTATTGTATATTTTCCAATTCAACTAGGTCTGCCCTTGTATATACAGTTGAATTGGAAAATGAAATTTTATTACATTATAAAATATTGAGTAAACACCCTTTTTAGTCCCTGGCAATATCTACGAAGTCCTTTTCAGTCCCTGGCAATAAAAAATGATCAAATTGGTCCCTGAAAGTACAAGAAAAGGGTCACTCTACATATTTGGGAGTTGACATAAGGACTAACATGGTCATTTTTTTGTAATTTCAGGGACTAATTTGGTCCTTTTTTATTGCCAGGGACTAAAAAGAACTTCGTAGATATTGACAGGGACTAAAAATGGTGTTTACTCTAAAATATTTATAAGAGTAAATATGACGGACGATCCAAGAGAAATTTCGTGTCAAATCAATACCACATATAAAGTCAAGTAGCCTTCTTCAAATAAAAAATGATAGATATGTTGAGAGAGGAAATTGGAAAGCAAAGGCACTTATATAAAGGTTATAATTAAATAATATATAATTGTTATCAAAAAAATAATAATAATATATAATTAACGATCGTGCTTAAACAAAGGAACTATAAACAAAGGCATCTCAATTGTTTGTCTTGACTTAAAAAAAAGGTTAACAAAGACCCAGCAATAACCTTTCGCTAGTGGTTCTTTGAATTCTGTTTGGGGTGTAACAAGTTGTAAATATCAGTTTCCAAAAAAACGTGTGATCGACAATCTGGAATCAGAATATGCAAAGCATATATGTATGGTTAACTGGCAATTAATCACTTTTATTTAACTTCACTCTCTCTGATCTCACCACTTGCATAAGCAAACAATGAACCTAACACTTTTTGGTGCTTTGCAATTGGGCTATTGGAGAAGCTGCAGTCAATGAAACCAGCTATTCCAGCTTTGGTTCCACTTTCTAATTTCCAGGAACATTCACGGATTCATTGTGAATGTTTGTGTGTGGTTGAAAGCGAGATAGGCTTCTTTAAGGTGTTTCTTTTCCTTTTGTATTGTACAATTTGAATATTATGGTTGGGTGGTCAAACTCACGAATATTATAGTTTGTAAGTCCTTTTAGGAAGGGCAAGGGCACAACAACCTCAAATTTTATTGGAGATTTGTCAAGATATCGGTATATTGGATAATTGCTGCAACCAATTATAATTATTGTAATATGAAATATGGGCTTTGTTTTTCTACTGTAACCGAAGATAACCAAATTTTCCTGCACATAGAAGTAAGCTGGGTCCCACTAGTTTTTATGAAAAAAATAAATAAAAAAGATTAGACACGCTTTACGAACTGAGAGTGACATAAGATAAACAAATTACTGCAACAGAAGAATACATTTTGCCATGAAATATATATATTTTGACCGGTCTACACAAGCCCAATAAAGATAGATCAATTATTCAAGATCCAATAAAGATCCAGTCCCATAGCACCCGACTCGTGAGGTTTAGGGAATATTCCTCCACTTATATAAACCTCTTATTTCTTATAGAAAAGACATATGATATCACACATTTTCATGAGTTGCTACTCTCCCAAATTTTAGAGTCTTCACACACACCCTCTTGCAACCTCATCTGCGATCATTTACAATGACTCCTCTTGAATTTTGATACTAAACCTCTTGGGGGATACAAAACTAACTTATTAGTAACGATACACAAAAGAAGAAGGAAAGAAAATCATGATTGAAAAATATTCTTGTGTATTCATTCATCTATGTTTTGCTAAACAGTGACCAGCTATATACAAGAGTCTCAAGGAAAGGTAAAGCAAGGCAAGTTTGTTATAACAAACTATCTTACGTGTAAAACAGAAAAGAAAATAATAAAGGAATAAAGCTGGAATAAAAACTAATATTCTAATACTCCCCCTCAAGATGGAGAGTATAAGTTGAGAACTCCCATCTTGGAGAGAAGAGCATGAAACTGTGATGGATGAATAGCCTTTGTTAATAAGTCAGCAAGCTGCCTGGAAGATGGAACATGGAAGGTGCGAAGTGTGCCTTTAATGATATGCTCACGAACCAAGTGACAATCAATGTCAATATGCTTGGTACGTTCATGAAATACAGAGTTAGCAGCAATATGGAGAGCAGCATTGCTGTCACAGAACAAGTGAGCAGGTCCATTGTGAGTAACATGTAGATCACGCAGCAAAGAAAGCAACCATAATATCTCACAAGTAGTCACTGCCATAGCACGGTATTCTGCCTCAGCAGAAGAACGAGAGACTGTTTGCTGCTTCTTGGATTTCCAGGAAATTAAGGAATCACCAAGAAAGATGCAAAATCCTGACACTGACTTTCTGCTATCAGGGCAAGAGGCCCAGTCAGAATCACAGAAAGCATGTATCTGCAATTTGGAGGCAGATGAGAAAAAAAGACCTTGGCCAGCAGTAGACTTCAAGTATGCTAACACACGTTGAGCAGCTTGAAAGTGAGGAACTCGTGGGGAAGACATGAACTGACTTAAATGATTAACCACAAAACAAATATCTGGCCGAGATACAGTCAAGTAAAGGAGTTGACCAATCAGTCTTCTATAAGTTGTAGGATCAGGAAGTAATTCACCTTCATGGAGGGATAGCTTGAGATTGGCATCCATTGGTGAGGAGCTGGGTTTGCAACCAAGAAGACCAGTATCCTCAAGAATTTGGAGTGTATATTTGCGCTGACATAGTGAAATGCCATTAGGAGACCGTGCAATTTCCAAACCAAGAAAATACTTGAGAGTACCCAAGTTTTTGAGTTTGAATTTACTGTCCAGAACTGAAGTTAATTTCTGCACCTCATGAGCAGCATTAGAAGCAATAATAATTTCATCAACATAAACTAATATTGCTATAAAAAAATCATTGTGCTTCTGAACAAATAAGGAGTTGTCAGCATGAGATTGAGTAAAACCAAGAGAAGTTAGAGCAGAAGAAAACTTGGCAAACCATTGCCTAGATGCCTACTTCAAACCATATAAGGACTTAGTGAGCTTGCAAACAACATTATGAGGGAGCTCCCCCTTTCCAGAATAACCAGGACGAAGTTGCATGTACACTTCCTCAAACAAGTCACCATGTAAAAAAGCATTGTTGACATCTAATTGAGTAAGATGCCAACCATGGCTAGCAGCAAGTGCAATAAGCATTCGGACAGTGGTGATTTTGGCCACAGGTGAAAAAGTTTCAAAAAAATCTATACCTTCCTGTTGATTAAATCCTTTGGCAACAAGTCTAGCCTTAAAACGTTCAAGTGAACCATCAGAATGGTATTTGACTCTAAACACCCATTTACAACCAACAATGGGTTTTCCAGGAGGTAGAGAAGTGACTTGCCAAGTGTTATTAGCCTCAAGAGCAAGTATTTCAGCTTTCATGGCCTCAGTCCATTCGGGTAATTGAGAGGCTTCAGAATAAGTGGTAGGCTCAAAATGGTTAGCAATAGAGTTGATGAAAGCCATGTGAGGTGGGGCGATTTTATTGTAGGAGAGATGATTGGAGATGGGGTGGGCTGTGGAGGAGGAACAAACATAATCAGCAAGGTAAGAGGGAGGCTTTGTAATGCGAATTGATTTAGGATTAAAGGGAATAGTGGTGGGTGAAGTGGTAACAGAAGTTGGAGGAGACAAAGGAATAGGGATGGAAGTAAATGGGGATGTGGTTAGAGTTGAAGTATGAAAAGGAAAAATATGTTCAAAGAATGTGACATCTCGTGTTATTATGACACGATTGGAAGACAGGTCTAAAACTTTATATCCCTTATAACCAGTGGGGTACCCAATGAAAACAGCTGGTAATGATCTTGGTGAGAACTTGTGCCTAGATTTGG